AATATCTAATGTCACCGAGCAACCTTTGGAGGAACAGGACGCAGACGCTTCAAAAACGCTCCCTTAAAACACATCTACCGCCATTAAAACAGGAAGTCATCGGTAAAGTAGCAAAGCCCGCCTCTTGCTCGCTTTGGCTGCCTCGGTCAACTGTGATCTTTGTTTGTTGTTCTTTTTTTAAATTCTCAATTCCCTGATTCTGTTTGTGATTCTGTGATCACAGAATCTATAGGACGCTATCCAAGGAAACTATGACGCATAAAGGGTCATCACGTCATTGTGAAGTGTGAAGTGTGCAAACTTCCATCAATCTGTTGGTGATATGTAACGATATTTAGGAGAGGACGGCTAACGCTAGCCAGCTCTCCCAATAATGTTTCCTATTTTTGTCAGGGGGTGGCGCTAACTGCCAAATTATATATGCCTCTATACATCCGGACCTTCTATCACTTTGTTGGTCAATGAACTAAGTTAGCATTTGCACTTTGTTTAGCTAACATTAGCAATATCTCTGTTGAGACATCCTACATTGCCTTGGAGATAAAACCGTTACGGTTGGTCAGAAATGATCCTTAATCCCTGTCATGACTCATGTGTGCACTACCTAATGATAGAGATGACTAGTCTGAATGTAAATCAAGGAACTGTACCATACGGTCGAGTCCGAGTGAAAGATATTTACCAAACTGAAAGGCCGCATCATTGAGTCCAGCCAGCTCTCATGGTGTCTCTTGGTGTTGCCATCATTCTGACACTCTGCGTCCAGATTGTGGCAACAGAAGATAAAATAGTCGCCAGCTGAGAGTCTGAGTCTTACAAACCGCTGTGCAGTGTTTGGCCGTCCGATAAGCCTTTAAACGCTGTTACTCAGCCTCACTTCCTGGATCGTGTTTCACGTCTCACCTACACCCCCCCGCCCCCCGACTGCTTTAACTCGGGGTATGTTTTTGGTCTGTAACCTCGCTCTTAAACTCTGGTGGTGAGCTGCAAAGTGGTCATCTTAAGAGCACAGATGAGTGTGTGTGTGTGTGTGTGGTTGTGGTTGTGTTTTCCTGCAGCGCTAATCTACATTAATGCCTCGTCTCCATCTCGTCCTCTAAACGCTCTCCTGGTATGGGAGGAATGCATCACTTTGTCTCCGTCTCTTTCTTTCCGTCTCTGCTCCCCACCCAGGGGTGACGATTACGCCTTAACACCACAACTCCACCTCCGCCCCTCGTAACACCGTCCCACCCAGTGGCTACTGTGCCCGTCTTTAAAGCTCCACAAAAGGCTTTGACATTTAAGAAGACTGTCGACTCCTTAAGCCCTTCAAAGGAGGCCTCGGCAGGTCCCCGTAGCCGTTACAATCTAGAGAGAATTTCATTAGCACACCCTGACAATAATAAGCTTCACACAAACGCACCTCGGAGGGATCAAGTGGTCAAGTTGGCACTCGCAGCACACTCGCAGAAGATCAGTTGAGCGGGTGACTTCCATAAAACACGAGGCCGGCCATGATTCATCGTCCGCTCGGCCAGTTCATGTGGGAACTCGGTGGAGCTGGCTGGCGGTGTTTTATTGTTTTCTCCCGTTTCATTGAGCTCGCCAGAGAGACCGGCATCTCCTTGTGTTGATGGGAGGCTGCGGTGCTCTGGTTAGAGGTCCGTCCTTGTTTAACAGGAAGCTCTCTGTAGGCCAGCTCAAGTCGTTGGTGTCGCTAGTTGCGTCTGCCAAGCAGATCGTGTTCTCAGCCCCGTTTGTTTGTTCGCTCACAACAGAGACTCAGTAACGGAGAGTTAGAACTAGTGGTTATATATTGTTTGTGATGGATTTTTCATAGGATTTCATTTTTACTGAACTGCTGCACTTTGTCTTTGATTGTCTGATAATATATCAAATATTTTCTGCAAATGCACATTTAAATCTATTTTTCCTCTGATAAACTTGAGAGGCTTTGAATCGTCTTCAGATGAGTTGAGTTGTTTGTTTCATGTTGATTCTTTGTGTTGTTAATTGCCCTTATGTTCTCTGGGTTGATGAGGCATCTTAGACTTCAGTGTAAATCTCCTCGATCGTTTTTAAAAATATGCAACTGTAGCATCTTTTTGAAGGGGACACAAGTAAATAGACTCATTTCCTTACTAGTAGAAGGGCCAATGCATGCGGGGGTTTGACAAATTCAACAATAAGTTAAGGACAGCCGTCGAAGAAAAGTCATGAAGGAAATTTTGAATGCTGAGATATTTTATTCAAACAATTATAGCATTTGGGTTTCTTTATTCAATTATACAAAAGAACACCTTCTCAGCCGTCTCCGCTGTTATTGAAATCATGAAGGCTTGCAGTCATGAAACACCAGCTAATGGATCCACAACTTCACTCATTTCGGTCTAATTTCTCAGCCGTTGCAGGAGGTTTGAGAACAGGAAAGACTGATTGAACACTGGCTGGCAGCAGGCCAGGAGTGGCTAGTGTGTGTGTGTGTGTGTGTGTGTGTGTGTGTGTGTGTGTGTGTGTG